CCCAGTACAAGCTCCCCTCCAAAAATCCTCACCATCCTGACTTGGAAAAATATCACCATTCCTTCGGTGTCACTGGGTCAAAATTCTAGAACTTTCTCCCTGGCCATGCTGTGGGTCCCTACATCAGGAACATCGGAATTCGAAGTGGGAGTAGCCAATCCAGCCATTTAACATGATCATGGCTGATCCTATCCTGGTCTCAATTCCACTCTCCTGCCTGCTCCCCATAGCCCTTTGTCCCATTTTTCATCAGAAACATATTTATTTCTTTCTGGAATCTGTATGATCGATTTTGCCACAGAATAACTGCCCTCAGAAGCAGTTTCTCCTCATCTCAGTTTTGAGCCAACCTCCTCTCACTTTGTATCTATGACCTCTTGTTTGAGGCTGTCCCACAAGGGGAAACATCTGTTCAATGTCTACCTTATCAGTCCCATTTAGCATTTTATGCACTTCAGTCAGAACCGCTCCCCCCACCCTCTCATTCTCCAGCGAGTACAAGCCCAAGCCATTCAACTGCTCCTTGTGCAACAGCCCTTTCATCCCTGCAATCAACCTGGTGAACCTCCTGAGCTGCATCCAGTGCCACCCAATCTTTCCTCAAATTTGGACACCATACTCCAGGTATGGTCTCACCAACACCTTCCATAATTGTAACACTCGTTTCCTTTTTAATCTAGTCCTTTTGCAATACACGCCAGGGTTCCATCTGCCTTTCCTATTATCAGAAGATAGCTCACCACTCTCTCCAGCGCAATTAAGAATGGCTCCAGCCAGCAGCACCCATTTCCCGTGAATGAGTAAAGAAAGTAAGCTCCTGCTACGCCTCCAGCAAGTCCAAAAACCTGCACGTTCACAGTGATTTCAGGGCAAAATGAGGCTACTGTTTCAATTTCCAAAGCCGAGAGCCTGATCACCACTGTAACAGCACTAGAGCAAGGCAAGAGCAGAGACTGACCAAAGCTGCAGCAAGGGATATCACAACAAGTGGCCAAGTTTCAGACATACTCAGATGGTGATAAAACACTCAGCAGCAGCACCTACAAACGAAAGATGGGGTTTGTCTACAAAGCATGCTCGAACCGGAGACACCAAGGCACAGCACGTTCTTCCAAACCATTCTGCGTTCTGTGCCATCATTCTCGTGCTCCAAGGAAGGGAACGATTGCACTGGAGAGGGTGCCAAGGAGATTCACCAGGATGTTGCCTGGGACGGAATCTCTCAGCTATAAAGGAGAATCTGGATAGGTTGGGGTAGGAAAATCTGATTGACGTTTGTAAAATCAGGAGAGGTGTGGACGAGAGTAGATCATGAGAATCTCTTCCCCAAGGTGGGCTTGTCGAAGACCAGACACATAAGCTTGAGGAGGGGAGCAAGTTTTACAGGGGATCGGAGAAAAGATTCTTTCACGCAGAGGCTGGTGGGAATATGGAATGGGCTGCCTGACAGGGTGGAAGAGGCAGGCACTCTCTCGCAACACGCAAGCAGCATCTGGACAAACACTTAAAAATGGCAGGGCACAGTACGGTGTAGGGCAAATGCAGGTGAATGGGATGAGTGTAGCCTGGTGTTGTCCAGTATAGATACAGCAGGCTGAAGGGCTTCTCTTTATGCCGTATGACTGAATCTCAGAGTTGACAGACATCAGAGTAATTTTGTGAGGAGTTATAATGTGGGAGACACAGCAGCCGATTCACACACTACAAGCTTCTACTTCCAGCTCCAAAGGGAACGATCAGATCTGCTCTGGGTGTTTAGCAATGGGGACAATTTGACCAGGACCACTAGCAGAACCTCCTAGTGTTTGTTTTGCTGCTGGATCCCATCCATCTTCTTGGCCCAGCATCTCAGCAGCAGTCCAGTACTATTGGTGCCAGTCCAGATTCACCATTTTTTTTTTAATTACACTGGAAATGCTCATGAAAATGAGCAAGAGTTGATGTCATTTCAGTCTGATTCTGTAATGTTTTTGGGGGTCTCCAAAAACTGTCGAATTCAGCTCCAGTTCATATGCCCCCAGGTTGGGGGCCGGGAAGGGTGGGGGTGTGGTTTGGTCAAACCGCAGTGGAGGAGATGAGGCACCCATCCATGAAGGGCTGTCAGCCATTGCTTGTTAAACACAGCGTACACCACAAAAAAGGAGTAGGCTTTTCAGCCCTTCGAGCACCTTCACCCATTGAATACAATCATGGCTGATTGTCCAACTCAGTCTCCTGACCCCACTTCGTCTCCACACACTTTCGATCCCTTTATGCCCAGGAAGCATATCTAACTGGTTTGTGAAAACGTTCAATGTTTTGGCCTTGACCACTTTCTGTGATAGAGATTTCCACAGGCTCCCCACTCCCTGGGCGAAGACATTTCTCCCCATCTCAGCTAGACATGGCCTGCCCCATGCCCTGAGACTATTTCACGTGGCTCTGGGCTCCCCAGTCATCAGGAACATCCTTCCTGCATTTATTATGCAAGTAAAGGATCACAAAGCACTACTTTCATAAGCCACCACATACTCACTGGTATCCTAACCTCAACTGATGCTGCTTGTGAAAGGAAAAAAAAAAATGATGATCTGACCATTATCACAAGGCTGGGTGCAGGCACTTCCATGTGCAAACTGGCTGCACATTTGCTCTGCTATAATAGTGCCTACACTTCCTAATTGGTTGGTAATAGAGAATTACGTGATGTCTAAGGACGTGACACTATAGCAATGCAAGTCCTTTGTTGAGAAATTTCCCAGATCTCACTGCCAAAACACTGGTCCCACAAGAACAAAATCAAGGGAGGGACAGACTTGCCTTGGAAGCAAGTTAGAGAAGGGTTCACTCAGCTGATTCCTGGCATGAAGCTTGTATGTACAGGTTGAGCAGCGAGTGCCTACACTCAGGTGTAGATCAGATAAACGAGGGGATCTTAAACATACAAAAATCCTGAGGGGGCCAACACAGTGGGTGCTGAAAGGATGTTTCCTCTCAAGGAAATCTAGAACAAGAGGGCACAATTTTAAAGTGAAGAATATCCCTTTTAAGGAGGAGATGATGAAGAATTTCTTCTGATCGTCAGTCTGAGGGATTCTCTGGCCCAATAACGGCAGAAATAGGGTCAATGAATATATTCAAGATGGGGTTAGAGAGATTTTTGATAAACAAGGACATCAAGGTTTTGGGGATGTCAGACAGGAGAGTGGAGTTAAGGCCACAATCAAAATCAACCATGATCCTATTCAATGGCAGAGCAGACACAAGGGGACAAGTGGTCTAGCCCTGCTCCTAATTCTTACGCTACACTCTTATAAAAGCTACCATGAAGAAATTTGCTGTTAAAGTCAAATTTAAAAGTTGCAAAAGCAAGTTGAGAAATCACTCAAAAAGCAAGGTTTACCTGACAACTGACAAGTGCTGAGTTTAACTAAGTAGAAGCAAACGCTTTAGTGACACTATAGACTGGTACATTCTTGCGGCTCTACCTGTCTGGGTGATACTCCTCTGTTTTCAGGCACAAAAGTTCACATTTTCATTGCACTGAGCTGGATAATCAATCCTGAAGCGTTCCTGATGTTCGGCTAACTTACCTTGTTTGTACACTGCATTACTAATTCTGACAATGATGGTTGACTTACTTCAAAATCTGCATTGCTCCGTTTGCCACCTTGAAGATGCAGCGACCTCAAATGATACTAGCATCTCTCACCTCCTAATCTCAGGAAAATGACTGTTTTGGTCATATTTCCATACAAACACCAGAAACCTTTCAGTAAATTATGCACAGACTAGAACACTTAGAGCATTTGACATCAAAAGCACATCATACATGTTGAAACAAAGTGGTATCTATGAAAAGCCCAACTACCAACAGGTAAACTTTACTTTTGGAGACTCCTCCAACATAACATATACATAACACAATACAACAAGAGCTAAACATGAATAAAAACCAAAAGAACTGCAGATGCTGTAAATCAGAAACAAGCAAATTGCTGGAAATACTCAACAGGTTTGGCAGCATTTGAGGAGTGAAATCAGAGTTAACGTGTCAGGCCAAGTGACCATTCCTTGCGACTATCAGTTCTAAGGAAGGGTCACTCGATTTGAAACGTTAGCCCCGATTTCTCTCCACAGATGCTGCAAGACCTGTTGAGCATTTCCAGCAATTTATGTTTAAGATCTAAGTAAGCACAGCCACACTAGAGGAGCACAAACTGATACAGAAACAGGTAACAATGATAAACAACCCTGGCAGCTTACAGCAATTAAACACAAACCAAGCCAGCTAAGTCTTGCCAAATAGCTAATTGCACACGAAACTGCACCACCATTAATCTTCATTTTGGCAACTGAGAGAACCAGCTCACTGAAGCCTTCAGAGAACCCAGCAGAGTAACATGGCAGTGGCTCTATTTTGGTTTCCCGTCTGCCTCCCCCACTACCTCCCAACTAAACCCCTCCAACGCCCCCCCCAAATTGCATGCTCATCATAAAACATGGGATGAGGATCTCTCATCATCCTCCTCCTTCTGATATGCAACAGCAGAACCAGCCATACCTATCCCCTACCCCAGAGAGAGAGAGAGAAGCTCACAGCAACAAAATACCACATTGAAACAAACCAGACGATAAGGGCAGTGGTATCTAACCTCTGGCTCGGAAGTCTGTAGGCCGTGTGCGGTATTTTAGTTGATCTGAGGAGGAAGGGGAGGTGAGACACCATCAAACGTGGCCCGACTTCCCTGGAATGGGGGCGGAAGGGGGGGGGGGTGGTGGGGAAGAAGCCCGTCACTTCCGGCTGCTCCGCGACTACATTTACCGTCAGTCACCGCGCCAGCGCGCCGTAGCCCTAACCCGGTCCGCGCGTCACCTCCGGCTGCCTCCACCTGCCCCCACAATAAACTACATTTACCGTCAGGCACCGCGCCGTAGCCCTGACACGGTCCGCGCGTCACCTCCGGCTGCTACCACCACCTTCTCCCCTCCCCCCCCCACCCCAGACAAACTACATTTACCGTCAGGCACCTCACTACCCCACGGCCGGACCAAGCCGCCCGCGCAACGCTCGTCGATTCCGCGCAAGACAAAGGTAGTCGGAAGCGCTCAGGCTGCCGCGTTAAATAGTTACCGATCGAATAGGATCGAGCGGTTTTCTTTAAAAAAATGGCTGGCTGTCAAAAATAATAGCCGTCGTCGACGGTTGAGAGGGAAAACGAAACGCGGAGAAGGACGAGCGGAGCCCAATCAACGGATCCGTTCCGGCCCGGCGCTCTCTCTGATTGGTCCCGGTGGGGTGGGGGTGGGGCGCGCGGGAGACACCACGTGACATATCCTGACCCCGCCCACGCAGTCCACGCCCCCCACACTGACCGCGCCCCTTCGCACTGACGTCGCAGAGCCTCCCGCGCCCACACTAGCCCCGCCCCCTTTCCTTGGTGACGCCTTGTCTTAGCCCCGCCCCGTCGCCGCGGTGCGGCCTAATAAGAGAGGCTTACCGCGGTCACCTTGTATGTGTGTTAAATCTCTAACTGTGTAAAACCGCTCTACGATTTAAACCGCGTGTATTTTCCCATCTGGGGGACGGGGGTGCAGGGTGTATGTTTGCTTTCTCTTGGGGGGGG